ACATGGGACGTGCTTTCGGAGAAGAGAAAAAAATCCTTCAGATTGCATTCCTAATATTCAGCACTTCATTTCAAAACTTACTAACAGCTCCTTCACTCAAAGGAGTTTCTACTGCTCTGGATTCATGCTTTCATTTAAAAGCTCATACACCTAAGAAATACATCATCCAGACTGGAAATAGCTTCCTTTTAGGTAAGGAAATTACAACAATGAAAACTAATCTAGCCAAACAACAGGATAACACTGGAGTTCTCTACAGGTACACGGCATTTTATTTCAAACTTGATCTTCAAGACAGGCACACTGGTGTATGTCTATAGTCCCAGCAACTTAGGAGACTGAGGCAGAACTGCTGGAGCCTAGAAGTTCAAGGTCAGCATGAGTAACACAGCAAGAAACCAAAGCAAAAGTATTTCCATTATTGTTGTCAACTTCAGCAAAACCCTTATGCTTTTTTTCCATCCAATTAAAACTTCTCCCACCAAGGTGAAATTTCTCCTAACAATAATGATAGTTAAACAGGCAAATGTACAATCTGATATTAAGAAGCACTACAGTCTCACTAAATAAACAAACAAACAAACTCAGAATAAGAAATTCTAGTCTAGGCGTGGTACTGCATGTCTGTAATCCCAACACTTGGAAGACACCAAGGTAGAACTGAGAAATCCAAAGGTAGCCTTCTCTACATAGGGAGTTCCAGAACAACCAGGACTACATGGCAAGACTGTCTTGATGATGATGAAGAAATAAGGAATAAGAATAATTGAACAGAAAGGTTTATGAGCTATTTAGTACAACTTCACTTATATATCAGAAATTGAAGGTTAAAAGTGAATTGCCCAATTGGGCATTGGGGCACATACCTTTGATCCCAGCACTCAGGAAATATTGGATTAACAGATCTCCACAAATTTAAGGCCAGAATGGTCTACATAATAAGACCCTGTCTCAAAAACAAACAAACAAACCAAAGACATGCAGTGACAGAGGGATGAGTAAGACTGAGCTCATACCCACTGATGTCCACTCCATGTGCTCTCTCAGCTTCATTCACCTTCTGCCAAGCTCAGGATCAGCCGCGAAGACCAACAACTCTTTGGGTACATACACTTGGTTAACATTAAAAAAATTTTTTTTAATTAAAGGGGAAAAAAAAAAAATCGCAGACACTCTCCAGCAGTCTTCCAGTTAGAGAACTACCCTCTTTTCTAAGCCCAACCTAAAAGCCTGCCTCAAGCCACAGGGACTTCACTCAACTTTAGATGAAAACAAATATGCACCAATGCTATAATTCAGTTTTAATATCACATATAATTAAAGTGTGCGGTGTTAAGATCAAGGGAAAACTGCTTTTAACGTGTTGAGTGGTGATAGGAGAGGCATATGAACTCAATGAAGACTGCTGGATGCTAAAATATTTCTGAAATAAATGTTAAACTACTACAAGTTCTAGTCAATGGAAGATGCTGCTTTGCTGTGCTTATTTAGAATGCAAACATAGTCACTTGAGCACCACCTGAGACAGCGGCTGACGCTATGAAGAGCATGGAAAAGCAGCACAAGACATGGACCTCAGTGGTGCTTCCTAATTCACACAGACTGCCCAAGCGTCTTTGTATTTTGAAAAATCACCTCATTATAACAGAATGTAATCCCAAGGAACTCCTATGTAGCTGTTACCAGAGAGATCGATCCAAGGAGAGCAAAGAACCAATGGCAACGAAGAACAGGTCTCCTGTGGGTAACAGCATGGTTCCTATAGGAGGATCCGGAGTTCTGTCACCAGAAGAACTCAGCTTTGATTATGTGCAACTCCAAGTCATTATTCCCTTAAAGTGAACCACAATTTAAAGAGGTTAGATTCGTTCTGGGTCACATAACAACTCCAAGAGTCCAGACGAGACCTCCTAAGAAGCACGGATAACTTCTAAGAAGCAACCTTAAGGATAATGTAAGTATGACAGCCTGGATTAAGACCTGTGGAACTCTATCATTGATGTGTAAGACTGTGTCACCAAATGCTTGGTTTCTATGCTGAAAGTCACCGAATGCCGGAAGAGGCTGCCACTCTCGTTTACCATGTACAACACATACCATCAGCCCGTGCTACATGGCCCCTAACGAACAGACAGAAAGCTTACCAACAGCTCATTAAAGTCCAGTTTAGAAAAAAAACTAACACTGGATTTAAGGCAAGGGGTCACCTGCCCTTTTCACAATGGAAGAGTGACTACCATTCATAGGCAAAGTCCTAAAGAGGAAAAACTCCTCCTCATCATACTTGATCTTATTCATAGGAACTGAAATTCCCTGACAAGTTTTATACAACAAATTACCCAGTAAGGCAAAATAAAGAGCTAGCTCACAACCAGAATATTGACAGGTAAGAAACCGTCAGCACCTGATTAAAACCTCAAAGGTAGTTTTTGTCAAAGACCAACAGATAAAATATTCTGATGCCCAGATATTAAATCCCTGGATCTAGGTCTCTCCCTCTCTCTAACCAGTCTCTTAAAAAGTTTATATGATTGGAAGCTGTTGACATAAAACTTTGCTTTTGAATGTGTGATAAGAACATTGAGACCTTGGACACACAGTCCTTCAATATGAAATGCATAAGCATGCCAACAATGAAATGCTGCTGCTTTGGGCATCTCCATAAAGCAGACCAACTTCTCCTAATAGAGACTTTCTTATAACACTCAAATATACACAAAAATAAAATTCAACATATAACCAGTCTAGTCTCAATTTTGAAAACACGTAGGTAAATAAGTCAATGTAAGACTTTTGTTTTGTTTTGTTTTGCTGCTGTATCTTTTAAAAAAGCAGAATCAACTCACATTTAAGCACCAACTCCATGCAAGTAACCTGAACGGTTCAGTCTTTTTGTCATGTATGAGGCCTTTGGTTCTCCAACTACATGGGATCTGTGTTGTTAGCTTAAAAAATACAGAATTGGCCTTTCAAAAAATAATAATCTACAACCAATAAAACCAATAAACCAATGCAACCAATAAAACACTCTCAAACAACCCTGCTTACCGCAGCAGCCTTCTGAAGGCTGGGAAAAGGAGGTGGAGACAGAGCTGAGAGAGGCAGGCAAAGAGGATGCTGCAGCTAGCTAGCTACACAGCAAGGAACACGCCCCCATCATGTCCTCCTGGCTCTGTCAGAAGGCGGGTTGTTGTCAGTCTCCTGAGCCAGCTGCCTTAGAAACAATTTTTAAAAGGAGGCTGGGAGACTAACAACTGGGGGAAAGAAAAAAGGACAGCTCCTTAGGATCTCCTCCCTCCCGGTCTTCCCAAGGCCTTTGCTAAATCTAAAGGGGTGCAGGGCATAAGGGGCCACAAGGGGTTTGCCCCAACGGCAGAGCACGCAGGAAACTGCTGGTTGCTATCTTTCTCTTTCTGTTTCAATCAACAGCACTACAGAGCAGCAAACCCCTACCCCCCTTCACTTCAGCCCCTGGCAGCTGCTCTTCCTCCCCCTAGCATCCCCCATCCCATTCTCCGCCCCCCCTCCTGCGACTCAAACTGCCCTTTCTGCATCCAATGGAAAACAAATGCGCAACGCCACTGACTGAACCTGGACTCAACTTCCCTTCCCTGGGCAACTTTCCTTTCTGCTGAAAAAGGCTGAAGACCGCCTATCAAAGCATCCCGGTTCTCAACCGATTACTCAATGGGAAAGGGGCAAAGCGCTGACCCTCCACCCACCTTGAGTCTCCCAATAGGAATCGCAAATAATCTTACCTCCCAAAGACTAACTTTGCTCCATGATCCTCCTCTTTTTCCCAACCCAAAGCAACCACCATTGCCACCACACTAACGTCAAACTGTCCCTTATCTACTCTTACCCCAGCCGGGCTCTCCTCCACCCCTACCAAGCCCCAGGATTGGCCTAGGAAAAGGTGGATCAATAATAAAATGACGAGGGGAAAAAAGAGAGAGAGAGAAGGGCGGGAGGGAGCCAGGGCCAGAGGCTGCAAGCTCTCAGGCGCAGTGGGTGGGGTAAGAGAGCAGCTGCTTCCCTTGGGAGGATGCTGTTCTAGTCCCCCCACAAACATCACCCCTCACTGGGGGCCCCCTTTCTCTAGAGCTGGAGGGAAAGTCTGCTCCCTCTCAAGGAGAATACTGGAAAGTAGCTCTGCTCCAAGCTTAGGGGGACACTGGGCCATTTTCCCTCTAACACACCGTTGGTCCTTCATCTAAAGGAGGGAAAGGGGTGGAGTTGGAGGTAAATCTCTGACACCAGCAGCCTAGGAACCGCAGCCCTGGAAGATGGGGAAAGGGACTAAGGCAGGGGAAAGCACTGTTATCTTCGCAGGAGAGATGAGGACAGGCAAGGTAGAGGGGAAAGGTTTCCCGTGGGGTGGGGCGGGACGAGGAGGCCCGGTGTGCTGGAGGTGGGAGTGGGCTGGGAGTACAGGTGAGAGAAGGGGGAGTGGCTGGCAAGGTGAAGACCTGGCTGGAGATGGAGAGAGGGTTGGTCAGGTTTTTCCGAAAGCAAGGTGCAGCAGGGCACCTGGATTTCCCATGGGCCAGGAGAAGAACATGGCCCTGGATGAAGCCACCACCCGAGAGATGTCCAAGGGGAAGACTGCCCTAGGAGTAACACATCTGCCCAGGAAAGGAGGCGGAGATGTGGCGGGATCAGGTCTCTGGCAGAGGGAGGGAGGAATCTGGCTCGGATGAGGTAATCTGTGAAAGGGAGGAGGGGTTCAGTCCCGGGATGGGAAACCCCCGCAAGGGGGTCTGTGCCAAGGGATTTGGGGAAGGGTCCAGGGAAAGAAGGCGGTGTAGGGGGTAAACGCCCTTAGCCAGAAGGGGTTGAACCCCCGGGGAAGGCGCCTGGGGGTCTGCAGTCCATAAGGGGGGGTTCCAAAATGGGAGGGCCATTTGCCCCGGGTTAGGGACCCCGGGATGTTTCCAGGATTGGGATGCTCCTCAAACCTGGATGGGGGAGGGGAGGGGTTCCGCAGAGGGTCGAGACCCCGGACCCGGGGGTTCCTCGCCCCCTTACCTCTCCGCTGCCGCCTCCCCCGCCGCTCTCCCCAAACACTGCCCGGAACCGGCGCAGGTTGGTGCCGATGGCGGCCGAGACCTGCAGCGCCGCGTCGAAGCCCGGGCCCACCCGGAGCAGGGCCGGCCCTGAGGAGGCTGAGGACGATGACGAAGACGAAGACGAGGCAGACGACGAAGAGGCTGCTGAGGCGGCGGCCGCTCCCCCTGGAACCCCAGCCCCGCTGCTTCCCGCCGCCGCCGCCACCGCTGGGGGGGAGGGGGGCGCCCCGGGGCCGCCACCGCCGGCCGGGGGCCCGGGGGGAAGCAGCAAGGCCGGGACGCGTTGCCGCGGGGCGCCCCCTAGGCCCCGGCGCCCCCCGCCGCCACCGCCCCCGGTGGTCCCGGGTCGGGCGGGGAAGCGCCACCGACAGCTGTGCGCCATGTTCGCCCCGTAAGTGAAGCAGCGAGAGGGAGAGGCGACAACACAGGGGGGCGGGGAGGCGGAGGGGGGGGGGGAGCGGCGGGCCCCGGAACCTGCCTAACCCGCCTGGCGCCGCCCGGCCGCTCGCACCCCGCGGCCCTCTATGCCGAGCGCCGGGTGGCGCTTGCTTGCCCTGCAATCTGCATATGGGCCTCTGGCCTCCGCCTCCGCCGCCCGGCGGCCGCTGCTCTATGCTGAGCCCCGGGCCCGGCTCCTCCCGCCCCGCAACCTGGATAAGTGCATGCCCCGCCCTCCGGGAGCGGCAGCGCCAGGGAAGATGGGGGGGGGGGGGAGGAAGCCCTGGAGCCCGGAGCGGAGGCGGGTTCCGGGGAGAGGGGGAGGGGGCGAGGGCGGCGGGAGGATGGAGGCGGAGGGAGCGGGTGGCCCGCTGCCGGGAGAGCCGAGGGGCCGATTACACACGTTCCCGGGACGCGCAGAGACTCGAGCTGCCCAGGAGAGCCGCTTCCAGTGCGGCGTGGCTGCTGGGTCCCGGGAGGAGCGAGCCTTCTCCGCCTTGGAGAGCGGCGGGCTTAGCCCTCATGGAACGCTTCTAGAATCCAGAAAGCCCCATTGTACTCCATGCAAAACCGAAGCGTCGCCCAGTTGAGTCTATGCAAAATGGCAAGGGCCTCGGTGAACGCGCTTTAAAAAATAAAATCCAATAAAAGAGGAGCCCCTCCCATCTTCATGCTTGGAGCGCTCTCTAAAATGCACACGACCGAGTGGCGGGCTTCCGCCACCTCCTCGCCCCACTGTGCGCTGGAGGGAGGCAAGGAGCTTCTGGCTTTCGTGCCCTTCTGCTGAGTTGGGGTGTGTTTTCCCAGCCCGGACGTTGGAGACCACGGCGTGCGCTGCGCGAACGACCTGGGGTTACAACGGAGCTGAAACTGGGTGGCTAACGGACGGGGCCCAAAGGGAAGAGGCGGGCAAAGGCGCCCCGCCCCTTCTTCCACCGCTACCAGCTTGCCGCTGCCTGCAAAGCGGACCCTAATGTATGCACGCGAAGGGAGGGGGCTCGCCAGCACATTTCTCATGATGGGGGGGGGGGTCGTTGAGCATTATGATACACTGGGTGGAAGGGGCCCGCCGCCGGCAAGCTCTGGGCGCAGGGTTAGCAAGCCTAGAGGGAGGGAGAGGGAAGAGGGATAGGGCAGCGGCGGGAGGGAGTAGTGTGAATATCCACGGGGTTTACTTTATTGCGGGGAATAGGAGAGGGAGCCTCTAGCAAGGCGTTAGAAGCCTGCGGGGATGGAAAAATCAAGGAGGGAGGGAGGAAGGATTGTTGCCCGAAAAATACGCGTTGGCTGAGGCTGGTGGGGGGATCGATACACTGCCTGCAGACCCGGAGCAGACTCCATCTCCCCCCACCCTCCAGCCGAGGTGGAGTTCGCTGGAAGGTCACGCAGCCTTCCAGGTCTCCCGCACCCGTAGCGAGCACTACTGCGACTAGGATCGCCTAGGACAGCCGATTTAGGAAGGGCAGTGAGGGTCGTAGTAAGGCAGGTAGAAACCAGCTCTAACCCACTGGAGGTTGTATTGCACGCCTCCAGAGGTCCACGGCCTCCTGGTGCTGAAAAACCTACGTCCTTCCTACGGAAAGACGTCTGTGCCTGTGAACGAATGGGGTTGTGGGGAGGAAGGGAACAGAGAAAGGGAGGAGACACAGTCAAACCCCAACTCCCCAAACTCATCCGGGATCCATCATCGTTCCAACCGCGCAGGATGGGGCCCAGATGGTTTGCAAAACGCACATTCACACAACGCACGCACAGCCAGATTCCGTTGTTGCTTCTCATGGCTTACTAGGTACAGAGAGAGTGGGAGCAGCGAGAGGCTATTCAACAGCAGCCCCATAACTCTGCTTAGGACATAACACACCCCATTGTGGATGATTTCTCTATTCCAATATATTTAGCGTTAGACTCTGGGGTTTTTGCTTCGGTATAGCTGCTCTGATCAGTTACAGATTGGCGACCACGTGGATTCTCTCAAGCATCCTGATTTGTTGCCTCTCTCACTCTCTCTCGCTTATTTTTCTTTTGTATTTGCCGCCCCCCTTCTTTAATATGCATAACGGCCTATAGAGGTAGTAGGCAGGGGACTGAGTGACAGGCTTTATATAACTGTGTCAACAGAATTTCTTCCCGCCCTCCGCCTTTGAGAAAACAAACCAGCTGGATTTTGAGTAACCCCTCCCTACAAGCACACTTCATTTAGCACAGGTGGGAGGTCTACAGGGTGTGTGGCAGCAACAAGAATGGAGAATGTCTTTGAAGGTTGTGAAGACACGCCTGGGAAGTGGGGGAGAACCCCTTGAGAGTTGGTCTTTCAGGCTAGTGCAGAGAGAGAGCTAGGATGGATCAGATTGGGTTTATGACCGAATGTTTTAGAGGAGAAATAGAGATTATAACTTGCTTTTGTCTAGTACGTTCTATGAGGCCAAATGCTTTATGTGTATTCAGTTCTTACTAATCATGTAAGATAATTCTTTTTTTTTTTACAAGGAGGGAAACTGAGTAATGTCCTAGACTACATACATAGTAATAGGTCTGCAGCTTGGTGGGATCTAACACCAGTATCCGGAAACTGGACTGTGGACAGCAGAAAGACATTCAGCGGAAGAGCAGCTGCCTAGCATTTGGAAAGCCCTGGGTTTGATCCTGAGCACCAGCACACACACACGGGGTTGAGGACACACATAGACACTATTCTATGCTCTTCTCATGTTACCTGAAACTGCGTGTGCTTTATTTTTGGTATTAAATTTTGACTCATTTCTCTTGCATACCTAATATAGCCATGTGGTTAATGTTTTTTTTTTAATATTTATTTTTGAGACATGGCCTCATCTATTTGAGACTGATCTTGAACTTTCCGTGTAGCCAAGGATGACGCTGAACGTTCTACCTCGAGAGTATCTGGAATACAGGTGTGCCCCACCGTACCTGTTTTAGTGTGGGGTTTGGGATCAGACCCAGGACTTTGCAAGTGCAGCAAACACTCCATCTACACCCCCATCGCCTATTTTTTAAACGCTAGTTTGTTTGTTTATTTATGTGTCTGCTTGTTTGTATGCACAGCAAGAATTACCCACAGAGGTCAAGAGAAGACCAGAACTCCTGGGACTGAAGTGACAGGCAGTGGTGAGCCACCTGTTATAGGTGGGGAACAAATCTCAGTCCTCTGCAAGAGCCGCTTGAACTCTTAACTGCTGAGGCTCTCTCCAGGCCCCTAACCCCCATCTCTTAATTTTTTTTTTTTGAGATGATCTAACTAACCTAGACCCCAGCCAGCTATGTAAACCAACCTAGTCTCAAACTTAGAAAGATCCCCCTGCTTCTACCTCTGAGTACTGGAATTACATGCGCCGCCTTGTCTAGCTTTGTGTGGATAAAATGTTAATGAAATTTAAAATCCCACCGCACTGGTTCTGAGCTACTGCATTGCTGCCCTCAGTCCTGTCTTACTCTAAGCGGCAGCAAAAGTCACCGTTGGTGCATATACTTCAAAGATAACCTACACCTAAACAAGCAAATCCATAGGGACCTGTTTCCATAAATGCAAAGATATCAAGTCCATTCCTGGCATCACAACAGTTTCACTTAATAAAGCTAGGAAATTGTTTTTTATCACTCTTGGGGATGTCTGGAAAATGCACAGTTTAATTTAACTAGATGTCTGTTAGTAGATACTTACATTACTTTCTAGCTACTAAAAGCCCTCCTCCTCCTCATCCTTCTCTCTCTTAGTTTTACTTTATGTATATGGCTGTTTCGCCTGTGTGTATGTCTAGGCACCATCTGCATGCAGTGCCTGTGGAGGCCAGGAGAAGGGTTGGGAATCCCCTTAAACTGCAGTTAAAGATGGTTTTGAGCCACCATGTGGGTGCTAGGAATCGAACTTGGGTCCTCTGTAGGAGCAGCCAGTGCCCTCAACAACCAAGCCATCTCATTTAAAAATAAAACAAACACAGGGTTTCACTGTGTAGCCCATGCTCCCCTGGAACCCAGTCTGTAGCCCAGACTGACCTCAAACTTGAGGCAATCCTCTTGCCTCGGTTGAATGCTGTGATTATAGGTATGAGCCACCATGCCCAGCCATTCAATTCCACACAATAACACAGTGCACGACTCTGAACACACACCAGTTTGCCACTGTGTAATACTTCTTTAGTATAGAGTCCCAGAAGTGTAGTTGCTGAACCCAAAGTATGTGCATTTATGATTTTGATAGATATTACCAAATTGTCCCCAGCCAATAAAGGTTGTTCAAGTATTTCATATTCCCATCAACAATACTGAAGAGGGCTTCTTTCTCCATAACCTTTCTGAAAGTTTTTCTTAGCCTTCTTGATCTTTGCCATTCTAATCAAAATGCACATATTTTACATTTTTTTCAAATGAGAGAAGGAACCCTTCAGGAAGGAAACCCCAAACTTTGCCCATTTCTGAGAACTCATAAATTACTCTGGCTTTAAAGAGACCTCTAGAGGCTGGAGAGGATGGCTCAGCAGTTAAGAGCACTTGTTGCTTTTGCAGAGGCCTGGACTCAATTATCAGTATTCATATGATGGATCACAACCATCCTAACTCCAGTTCCAGGGGATCCAATGTCCTCTTCTGACCTCCATGGACAGCATATATACACATGGTATACATATATATATATATGTAAGCAAACACTCACATATAAAATGAATAAACCTATTTTTTTTTTTTTATCGAAGGGACTCAGAGCTGTTAGCTCTCTTTCTTTCTACCCTGCGGACTCCTCACTGCAAAATGAGTATCATGGTGGAACTAACATGGGCTCGGAGTCACAAATATAGGCTTGATTTGCAGGTCCAATACTTTTAGGTATACACCTTGAGCCAGGTACCTGGCCATATGCCTATCTCCTCATTTGCAAAAATTAGAATCTTAATAGCAGCTTCACAAGATTGCTATGAAGATTAAATTACATATTCTAAGTATCTTCTTTCTTATTCAGATAGAAACAACACACACGGTTTGCTTGTTGGTTTGTTTGTTAATGCTAAGAATAGAACCTACCTAGATTTTTTTTTTTCTGTTTTGAGACAGGGTTTCAAATAACCCAGGCTGACCTCAAACTTGCTATATAGCTTAGCATGACCTAACTCCCGATCCTTCTGCTTCAACCTTCCAAGTACTTCACCCAGATTTTCTTTACCATTGGTGAAGACAGCT